ATGCTCTTTTTATCTTACAATTAGTCGTTCAAATGATTAATGTCGTTGGTAGTTCCAACATTCCATCCAATCAGCTTGATTTTAAGAAGGCTATCATCCAAGCACTATCCATTTACAAACTTGCTTTAGAGGCACAGTTCACGATAACGGTTTCTGAGATTCCCCCTTAGGACGAATTTGAGGCCTTAGCGTATACCATATCTGGCACCACTAGGCCGGAAAACTGCCTATTTGGGGAGTTCTAAAGGCTCAAATTTTGGCCCCTGTGTATCCTCGTACGAGTTTCACCGGCATGATAGAGGCTGCACCGATCACAAGGGAACCCATGTAGGACGTTCAAATAACTTATCATAACCAATATCATAACCCATCACAGTCAAAAAAGAGCTCTGGCTCGATGTTGTCAGCTCTTTGTGCCATTGCAATAACTGAAATCTCGTCGAAATACCCTTGCCATGTTATTTTCGTCATGGCAATCTCGTCCAACCTCTGTTTTCCCTACTTTCGAGGAGCCACATTTTTCTCGACATCGGCGTATTCTCTCGGTTTCTTCACTACCGATGAACTGTTCCCAATCTGTACTCCCGCTTTTCGAATAGAAACGGGTACCTCAAAATTATCGTGAACTGAGCCTTTAACAAATGTGATTCTAGCAAAGGCTAAAAGGGTAGAGTTGTTTGGCGTTACAATCCAATTCGCGATGCAGCCATGCAATGGACTCCCATTCGGAATTGTAAAGGCCTTTACATGTATATCTGGCCTCCACATACATTTATATACGTTTGGATGACTTCCATAAACATATCTGTGTCTTTGCTTTCCTAGATGAGATTGGCACTACTTTGCGGACCTCTGGGGCACAGAAGGCATCGTTATTTGGCCCAGATGACCCTGAAATAACAGTATGAATATTTACTTATCCTGGAAAAATTCTAGAATGTTTTGGAAGGAAGCCTAAAATTTTCTGGCAATTTTACACTCTGGAAAATACTGAGAGAATAAGCTGAGTAATGACGTTAGCGAAAATAGTTTCTGAGATATAGATTGACCATTTTTAATGGTCTTCAATTTTTGGGCTCCTGGGAACCTGGGCTACCCTATCTCTGCCCAGAAACCGAACAGTATGGGTATTTTCAAACAAATTTCCCTGGAAGCTGGAAGATTCTGGTTTATGTCCTTCTTCCTAAGATTGCACATCATTCTGTCTGAATGGCTCCAGACTTCTACTCAGACTTGAATACTCGATTATTTGAGTCAGTAAGCTTTCCGACTGATTGAACATGTCTTCGATACAATTAGGGATGCGTATGCAAAAATTGGATTATCAGAATAGATCGAATTTCTCTCAACGAAAACCTATTTTGCATTCAATCGATGATATTTATGTTGTAAATTCTAATGTTGGAGTTTCACAATGCTGAAGAGAGGCTCGGCAGCCTTTATGGCGCCACTGCTCAAATCCGGTTGATGTCGCCCTTGCCTTTCATCCATTTGAAGTGTGCTACTTGTTACCAGCCTTGTCTGGGCGGATAAAAACTTTGATTTTTAATTGGGTAGGCCTTCACGCGTCATTTTGTAGGCCAAAAGAGCATTGAAAGGGCTCTACTGTTCTCCTTGGAAATCGAGTGCGCAGCGCATACCAACTTGGTCTACACTCTTCAATCGACGCCATGTTAAGAATCCTCAACACTTGGACGCTAAATAGTTCATCGGATAACCCTTACCCATTTTTGATAAAGGCACAGATACGCTCCTGGTCTATCAGTACAGCTTTGAAATTGCAAATTATGTGCATGGCGCATTCCAGGAACCAGCTGTGGGCATTGAGATTTTAGAATGAAACGTGGGTGGGTGTTGAGAACACCGAAAAGTTGAACGTGAAAAATTACCCTTCATTCAGCTGGTTATCGTTTTTAGAAATTTTAAAAGCTTTTAAATAAAAAGAATGGTAGCAGTGGGAGTGGGAAAGCAAAATCCATGAGAGAGTTAGAAACGGTCGTAAAAACTATCGCGTTCAATCAATGATTGGCTGATCGTATTGATCGCATATCGATTCGTCACGATGGCTTTTACTCATTTGTATGATCATCTTTGCTTGTTAGTAACTAGCCCTTGCCTATCTTCTTGCCATGGGACATAAAAGATTAGGGATAAAGCCTTTAGGCGCTAATTAATCCCGTCTGAGGGTTGCGCCCTGCGTTCGACTTCCATTCAGAATCGTAGTGGCGTAATGGGTGCGTATGCGACCTATGCAGTGACTTGCGGTGGCCAGCCGATGTACAAGTCAGTGCTTTTATCCTCCCAGACTGCAGTGACTTGCGGTGGCCAGCCGATGTACAAGTCAGTGCTTTTATCCTCCCAGACGAGCTTGGTACCAATTCATCGCCCCGGAGAAATGGACGGCTTCGTTGGCCTAGGCGNAGATTCAGTTGTAAACAAGGAGCAAAAGCCGCCCCAATCGCTCGCTCGCTTTCTTGCGTGGTCGCGGGCCAAATCGCGGACTATGGAAGCAGCTATTCTTGACCTAATACAAATGCTGAATTGAAAAATTTTTTACACGAGACTCAGACATTAACGAATTGAAACGGCTGAATTGAAAGTAATAAATAAGGTGTAGATAAGGAAAAAGGCAAGTAATTATTTTATGTGAAGATAGGCACCGTCGAGGAGACAATCCCTTTCTTCTCGTATTCTTATTTTTCCCCGTATCAGAATATTTTCATTTTTCCTCTTCTTTTTTGAGCTCTCTCATATTTAATCATTTCCTCCTATTTGCTTATTCGACAGTATCCCTTTACCTCCAAGTTTTTCTCTGACTGGGCTACGAGCTTCTCTTATTTCTAATTGGTTCAACCTTTTTTGCGTTTGTGCTCCAATAGAGTGTTCATGTTCTATGAGCTAAAGGATTGATTAAAGTGGGAGATCAATTGGGGAAAATGGATTCAAGCACTGGGAAGAAGGGAATGCAGAAATCGGAACGTCTGTAGGATGACTCTTACCTTCTATGTAGGTCTGCAGGATGACTCTTACCTTCTTTGAATTCAGATTCAAAGCAGGAGCTGCTCTGAATTTTAGCTAAACTTCACCTTGAAATTGGAGCGCGTTATCTCGGGAATGCGGTATTCTTTAGTGCTATTTTTTTCCAATCAACCATAATTTAC